CCCCAAAACCCCAAAACCCCAAAACCCCAAAACCCCATAAGACCTATATCTGAATTGTAAAGATAAAATAATAATGAGCAATTTTATAAAATACCAAACAAATCAATTTAAACTAATGAATATTGTCTCTTATTTATAAATATCAGAATAATTTGCCTTCTATCATTTCTTGACTTATGTCAGAAATGGTTTCACAATTTTTGATAACTTTCCTGATAAGCTTGAGACTACTCTGTCTAAATAACGAAGCTATTAGTTGTATTGTTAGCTTTTATGCTATTATTATCTTGATAATTACTGAGCTAAGTTGTCATTCTATAGTGAGGATTCTAATTAGCATAATCTTGTAGCTAATTTATTTAATTTGAGTTTTAAAATTGGCCTTATGATAGGTCTCTTTGAGATTATTCAGTCTAAATTTCAGCAATGTGTTTTTGCAAGTCACTTTCAGTTTTATTGTTTTCTTTACTTTCCATTAAAGAATCTTATCTCTCATTAGTTCTCAGATTTTTCACTGAGAATTAAGGATTACTTGATAGTCCAAGACTTCCATTGAAATTTTGAGTTGTCTTTCGTTTCAAACTACCTGGTGAATACATTGGTTGCTAATAATTCTAGAATCCATCTTATGAATTGTAGCTTAAACCTTTGCCTTCCTCATCCTCATCTTCTGTAAGAGTTCTTATCCTGTCTTCTCTTGTTGCTTCAAAGTTCTAAAGTTTATTCTCTTTGTCTTATCTATGAAAAAGATTCATTCTACTGATAATTAATAATTTAGAATATTATACCTAACCTATTCTGGAGAGTTAGTTTTATTCAGCAAGTTTTCTGAAGTCTTATCTAATTAGTCTTCGTCGTTATTAAAACTAGCATTTTTTTTGGAAGATCTCTCTTTGCATTTTTGAATATTCTCTTCAAATCTCTCATCATGATAAAATTTGAGAACGAGGTTGTAGAATACCACAAAATTAAAGAAAATCTCTTGGACATAAATGAAGACTAATTGTTTGTTCTCTATTTCTGAAGTAGTTTCATAACGAAAGTCTTTGAACCTAAAAACAATATAATATATTGTCCTTGACCCCAATAGTATAGTCATCATAATGAAAAATGCATGCATCTAAATTAATGGGTGAGATTTAATATATTTTGGAAAATCAAAATGAATACATTGCAGAGAAGTGCTCTACGTGATTCTTTGGGTAGCTTCAAGAATTCAATTCTTATCAGAATATACATGATGAAATACTCAATTGTGATTACGATGCCTGATATCATTAAGATAAGTGTGAATGCTCTAATCAAATATTAAGCAAACAAATGTATTTAAGTTTACTAGAATATACGCTTGAGGTTGTCTTTACTCAAAAGCTAATCGATAGAAAGCAATACAGTATCTATTATCAACAGACTTAGCAGAAGAATTACGACTCCATATAGAAATACATAATATTGTTTATCCTCAAAGAATGTTCTTCTACAGAACCTTATAACTCTCTAAATTAATCCCATTTTCTTAGAAGGATCTTCATTAACTTGATTTAGAACAGCCCAAATTTGTATCCTATAAAAATGTTAAAGTAATTGAAGTATAATCATTATTGAATGATCTTAAAATTTACCATTGCATAATCACAATAAAAGCGACGATATTAAACAAGTGATAAGGGAATTCAAAGTATAGGTATTTATAGTATTCTCCTTAGTCAAGGAGAGAACCTTTCATTAGAATTTAATAGATTGTCATTGCCAATCTGACTAAATATAAGTTATCATCAAAATTATATAAAATAATAGGGTGCGTTCTGATTCCATTTTATAAAAAACCGAAAAATTTTTCATTTAGAGCCAACTTTAACTGACTTATAATAATAAACTTACATAGTAAACCAGTTGTCAAGAGAATGTTTACAAGAAGCATTACAAAAATTCTAGATTTGATTTACTTAATGAAAGCAAAGAGATTAAAGACAATTTGGAGGCCGAAAAGTATTGCAAACACAATGTCTATGTTTTAGTAATATTCAGACATTATCTTTTTTATTGATTGATGATAATTAATGCTTTGTAACATTCAAAATTAATAATGTATTTTAAGGCGAGTTAAGAATGATCTTTGACTACTGGGGTTTTGGGGTTTTGGGG